CCAGCGCAAACTTGTGATAAAAAAATAAAAATAATCGTTTACTATCAACCTACAAAAAATAAACATACACCCATTCATGCACCATACAAAAAGTAGCAGTAATAATCAAAACTTGCAACATGGTCCGTACATTTTTTTCAGGACCCGTTCCAAAAAAAAACACTAACAATTTCTTCCACTTGGATTTAGCCAGTGTAGGGAGCAAATACCAGTAAATACAATCTCCTGTGGAAAATAATGATAATAATAATAATATTTATTCATCTGCATGAACGCAAGATTCGTCGATAAGTCAAATATACAAATTTACACAAACAATAACGAAGGCTCAGTCAGTAATAGTACATAAATGTATTATCATGTATATTTGAACAAATTAGTGTGAGTGTCAAGTGGTTCAGCATTATGGTCTTATATATTTATGGTAGTATCATCGGCAAACATGATTACATGACTCTCAACCACCTGTGACGCTAGATCATCAACATTTAATGGAAACAGTTAAGGTCCGAGATCTGAGCCTTGGGGCACACCTAGCTCCACATTTCGGACCTATGAAAAAACCACCCTGAAATACTATCATACTTCCGCCCCGTCATATATGATTCAATCCGATTAGTTACATTGTTGAGCAAACAGTTAATTTGTGCACTAAATATTCAGGACAAACTGAGTCGAATGATTTTTTTATATCAAAAACAGGACATGAGAATCCGTCTTTAAGGGCCTGTTTTTTCTAAAGCCATGTCTAAAGCTATAGTACAATTCCATAATAGTAGGCACTAAATTCTCAGAGGCTAATGACCAGAGTGGTCGATGTCGTTGACCCAAAAAAACATACAATATTCCAAAATATTTTCAATAGCTTTATGACCAAACTACCAAATTATGTATGCGATTATATTTGGCTCATCTTACAGTTGTTAACTCTTTTTCAGGTGATTTCGGAAAGTATCAAGCATGGCAGTTTTGTTTACACATTCTCTCGGCTGTTACCGCCGGGCTGAATATGATGTCATTAGTCACTGTAGCTGCAGTTCCAGAACATCGGTAAGGGATTTTCCAAAATTATCTTTTGTTATTCTAAATCACCAAATAATTTTACACTATTTTCTATTTGAAGGTTTTATTGATCTTTAACAAACCTCTTACTACCAGGAATAAAATGATGAAGTTCATTCTGAGCATTAAAATATTTTGACAAGTTTTTATACTTGTGATGCACTGTTTAGAATTTTTGGTGTAGTAATGAATATTACTGGAGCCTTTTCCTAACACCATCTTCATCAAGTAACGGTCGTATCAATCAGAAAAAAACGANATTTTGAAGATCGAAAAGTGACATGTGCCCTTTCCGCATATTTCGATTGAATTACGAGTTTATTTTATTGAACATTGAAAGTTAAGTTGAGAGTGTGTGCAGTTTTTTTTAAATAGTGCAAATTTTAGACTTCAGTAGATTTTTGTGAGTTTGAAGGTGATTGACAATGTTTCATGATGAATTTCACTAGTTCGGACTTCCATTGTCTAATATATAAAATGATTTGAAATACCTGAAAAAACTAAAAAAGAAGAATTAAAAATGAATAACTGAAAATAACAATTATATTAAGCAAAAATAACCTGAAATGAAATGATAGTGAAATAAATAAAGTGGAATAACTTGAACAAAAAAAAAATTTAAAAGTTAAGAGATTTCAAGCCAAGTTAGTTCACGACGTTTCGATTATTAGTATCAACAATCGTCTTCGGGTGATGACTGGACTGATTCCTACGACTATTAATGGGTCGTTCGAGTACTTTCACTTATCCACGCTTTCCATAGTATCTCTCGGAAGAATCAGTCTACTCATCACCCGAAGACGATTGTAGACACTAACAATCGAAACGTCGTGAACTAACGTGGCTTGGAATCTCTTAACTTTTTATTTTTTTTGTTGAATCGTTCTATTTTAACTTGTATTTTGTTTCACAATTATTTCATTTCAGGTTATTTTTCCTTAATATAATTGTTATTTTCAGCTATTCAGTTTTAATTCTTCTTTTTCAATTGTTTCAGGGATTTCAAATCATTTTATATATTAGACAATGGAAGTCCGAACTAGTGAAATTTATGGAACGCCATTTTACTTTTTATTGTCACAATATTCATTCCTCAATTTATTCAACTAACAATTTATTTGTTTGAATTTAATTGATTCATGCATTTGTTGGACACATTAAAAACGATTGTTCGCAAAATTTGTTCTATTTTACATGACACTTGATTTGAAATGTTACATAAATGAATTTGTTTGATGAAAAGTTGCGAACAGTTATAATATAGATTCATTGTTTGAAATTTTTGGATGTAAATGTTTATCATTTACACTTTTTTTGTAACTATCGAATAATTTAACACAATTTCTGTGGAACGTGAATAAATTGTTTGTTGATAATTATAGTTACATCAATTAAAACGATTGTTGACAATTTTAATTCGGCGCTAGCGTCGAGCGGATTCTTGCAGAAGCTGAATTTTTAAATCTGGCAACATGATAGTCTAGTGATAGTAAGACAATATTCCGTCCAACCGCAGCGCCGAATAAAAATTATCAACAATCAATTNACAATTGCTAACACCGCAAAGCCATGCATCGGCGGTCCTACATTGTCAAATAAAGAGCTAGCAAATGTCGTGTTTTTTTCAAGTTTATTTTGAAGATTCTGACGAAATAAAAAGAAGTCAGAGTTGTAAAGAACAGTACAAAAAATAATGTGCTGCCTGAAACGTTTTCGTTAATCAATTAGTCTGAGAAATAATTAATTCTTTGGCATGAAAAATTCATGACAGAAAGACGCTTGACTACTATTTGCAATTACAGAGTTCGCTTATTTCTGTTGATAAAATGAAACTTGTACATGATCCCTGAATAATTTTCAGATTTTCAATCCAAAATTTCAGAATGGAAAAAATATATTAATAAATCAGATGCATCGCGAAGTGAACTTATTTCTGAATTTTCATGACATAGTTAGGTACCTAGTTGTTTCACATATTTTTCAAGATATGAATTCTTTTTTTAATGGATTGCAACTTGTTCGAATCTGACATTTTTCTGAACATAGGGGAAAGTACCCTACTAAGGCCCCAAAACTGTAATTGGTAATTATTGTGTTTTAAAAACAAATTGGCTCAAAAGTAAGCTTGTGTAGGGACCCATGTAAGATAGCTTTGAGATTTTCAAACACTTCTCTACCATGCAACCATTTTTTTTTAACTTCATGGGGGGCCATCATAGTTTCTATGACGGATTTTTTTTAATGGGTAAAAAGCAAAATTTAGGAAATAAGTAATATTCTTAGATATTAAAACGTGTTTTCCATTATTGAAGGAATACGTCTTCTAAACTATAAAGTTGTGTGTCGCTATTTGCAAAGATCGCAAGTAAACATTTTTTACCATTTTAGGGACTTCGGCACATTCGGTGTGGCACCAACTTTTGCATTTTTGGCAACTTATCCAAAAATCAATTCGACGTGAATGGGAATACAATTCATTGCAATATAGACATGCGGTATCTGAGTTGTCATCAGAGACTTCCTCAATATCTTCGTTGTCGCTATAATTTTCCAGTTGTTTATTGATCTTCCTCTTGGCTGTTTTAACAGTTCATCTGTGGATTTTCTCCAAAGCTTCCTCCTTCTTTTCTTTCAGCTCCTCAACATCAGGAGTGGAGTTGTGAACATCTGTTTTTCCACGCCTGCTTTTTTTTTCGTCTTTTTCTTCAAATTCCCGTTTTCCTGAAGGAGTTTATAGCATTTAAAGGAACAGCAGATTTAAGGTACGCGTTGTTGAAAAGTGAGTAAGTCCGGCCGTACACGGACCACATATTTGCAGTTGAGGCAACCACAACATTGTGGTCACGTTGACTGCACTTCGCGGTTGAACCAACCACATTTTTGTGGTCGACTTGCGGTCATATAAACCGCACTTGCAGTTGAGGCAACTGACATCAAAAATTGAATGCTGTAAGACCAATATGAGAAAAAGTACACCACGGTGTACGCGGTTGGGTACGACTGCAAGTTTGTGGTTAGTGTATCGTGGATGCCGCGATGACATCTCGGCGGAGATCAGCAGCAAACGCCCGTTTTGACTTTTGTAAACGCCCGTGTACGTGTAGTACAATATTTCTTATGGGCGGCTTGAGTTCGTTGGAACGCGACTGCAATTGTGTGGTCCGACCGCAAAATGTGGCTCGTGTACGAGCGTTCTAACATTACGCCCTGGGTAATCTTTGAGCCATGTTTGAACTTCTATATTGTAGTATGTTTGGAGAGTGGCAAAAAATCTCACATCAAGAGGCTGTACTATATGCGAGTAAGTGCAGGTAGGTAAAATAAAAAACAATGTTATTTTGTTTTGTATACTCCAGGATGTCCAGCCCCTTATGACTGCTATGCCCGTCCAGAATCGAAAGGATTCGATTGTCACATGACGGTTTCACATGCTGCACAAAATGTTTCAATCATTTTAGAAAGGCGTCGGTGTCCATCCATTATCCTGACAAAATCTACACTGCCCATCGGTGCTCCATCCATTAGTTCTGCCTTGAACCGTTTACGCAGAAAAATAAACGCAACATACCGCAGTAAAATTTGCCCTCGTTCGGCACTGCTAAGTGCTCCTATTTGTTTGCGCCTTTTCGATGCAAGAATTTTTATGGCTTTTGTTGGAACAGTGCTCATGCCGGTTTCGTCTACATTAAATATACAGGGTGTCCCTGGACTTCCTCTTTTCCTCTCGGGAATGTATAGATGGGGTCAAGATATCACCAGTACTTCATATAACTTTTTTTCCTAAAAGTCTTCGTAAAAGTTTGTGATGATCAAATCGTAAAGTGTAGTTTATTAGAGATTATAACGCCGAATATAAAGTTATTGTCACTTCAAATAGGATTTTCTAATAAAACAATTTTCGGAAGTATGTATTTTTCATTCTTGATGACCTGAATTGACTTTTCCATTTTGTTTCAACCACTGATAACTCTAGAATATTTTTAGGTTTTGTTCTAACGATGGAGCTCGTGGGACCAAATAAAAGGTCGATGTGTGGAGTAGCATTCCAAGGAGCCTTTGCAGTCGGAATCATGTTAGTCGCAGGATGGGGAGCTCTTATAAAAGACCGCCAGCTCCTTCAAATTATCTATGGATGCCATGCTTTACTTCTAGTAGGACATTTTTGGCTCATGGATGAATCCCCCAGGTAGGTGGCACTTTTCAAAGCATTTGTGTTTTATGTTTTGGAAACATTCTATTTTGTATTCAAAAATTGTACCCTGCTTCTTGTTCATTTGAATATACAGGGCTATTCAAATTCGTTTCTGTACATGGGGATCTCGTAAACGATAAGAGATACGAGTGTCCGTTAAATTGTGGCAAAGTTGCGTATTTTAGAGACCTATTTAATGATGTAATAAAATCAATGAAGCTCTTTTGGTTCTGGAGATATACAGGAAAAACCAAAAAATCCCAAATTATTTTTTTGCCTATATCTTCTTTATTCGCAGCCATATTGAAAATCTGTCCACATTTTGCTATTGGCACTTGATGTGGGCTATCAGAATATGTCCATGAATCTTTTATACAGTGTGTCATCTGACTTGGGCCACCCCCATCTTTGAATTTTCAAATACAGACCTGTATTTTTTTTGTTGT